GTGTCACGTTCCGACACCAGGATAGAATATGGATCGAGTGCCACGTTCCGGTACCAGGATAGAATATGGATCGGGTGTCACGTTCCGGCACCAGGATAGAATATGGATCGGGTGCCACGTTCCGGTACCAGGATAGTATATGAGGATCGGAGTGTCACGTACCGACACGAGGGTAATAAAGATAAAGAATCTTGAAAGATGTTAATATATTCAATCTAATGAACCTAATTCCCAAATGAGTATGATGAGGAGGCGTGAGTCGTCATTGATGAGCTTGGTGTTGTAACCAAGGGTTATGGTAACTGTAAATGCTGCATGCTAAGGATATTAGTTGATTTTATGATATTATCTGGTATATACTGTTTTCTATTTTGAGTTGGTCGATGATATCTACTTAGTACCCGTGTTTTGTACTGACCCCTACTTTTATGTTTTCTTCTTGTTATTTGTGGAGTGCAGCAAACGTGCCGTCGCCTTCGACTCAACAGTAATTCAAGCCAGTCATACTACACCGGAAATTCAGGGTGAGCTACTGCTTCTAGCTTGGACTGGATCTTCTTCTTCAAGTCTTGATGCCTTGAACTTCCGGCATGGACTAGCTTCTTATGTATTTTTAGCTTTTAGAATACTCTTAGTTTAGCCATTTGATCGTAGACGTTCTTGTGGTGATGACTTCCAGATTTTGGGGATAATAATAGTTATTGATTTTATTAATGAGTTTAAGTCTTCCGCATTACTTTATGTTGATATTATATTGAAATGTTAAGGTTTAGATTGGTTGGTTCGCTCACATAGGAGGGTAAGTGTGGGTGCCAATCGCGGCCCGGATTTGGGTCGTGACACAAAGTGTGCTTTTAAAAATTCAAATGCTACAACATCAAAGGGTGTGACCTAATGGTTAATGAAGTGATTGAGAACTCCGAGGTCTGAGGTTTCTAATTTAACGGAGACAAAAATTATCAGGTAATTCTTCTTATATGCACTATCCTTGATGAACAGAATTATCTGATACTTGTTATTGGTGAAAGATGGCAAAAACTGATTTTTCAAAAATAGTCGGTGTTAATCTATACAACAGTATATGAGGACACATTTGAGAAAATGGTGACATGAAAGTATTTATACAATGTAACAAAGAGGTGAAGACAGAGTCAAGGACTATTCTTAAAATACGTCTTGAATTAGTCAAATAGTTGCTATAGCATTAGCAAGGACACATTAAGATAAAACAACTAGTCAAATTAAAAGAGCAATCCAACAAATCCCAGTATCACATTAAAGATATTAAAACAATACACTATAACAATCCAACATATGAAGTCATCAAAACCATGGTCTAATAAAATTCATGATTTCCAGACTAATAATAATATAATTAAAATAGAGAAGTTCCTAAATTGTATTACCTCATAAATTTCTTCCTTTGTTTAAATCTTGACGAAATTTGCTGACATTCGAGATTGTGTATTCATTTTCTCAACTAGCAAGGTTGAACACACATACATTTGCTTATCAAAAGATATACATAACGCAATAATAGAAACTGATTCTTTAGTACTAAAGAACGTCATCTAGGAAGTGTGGAGAGTGACATTGGACATGTTACAACATGTGGAAGAAATAAAGAATACAATGCAACAATTACAGATGGAAATTACACATACATACAGAGAAGCACATCAATTAGCTGAGTATATTACAAGCATTGCACTTGAAAAGACAACCCAATCCATTACCACAGTTTTCAAGATCTCCGCACCAAAGGACGGAAGATATTGAATTTGAATAAATCACAAATTCCAATCCTCATAATCAGAACTAGAAAGATTACACAGTCCTAAACAAGACCAATCAACAAATGGGGGCTAGATCAAGAGGATATACAACAAGAAAAAAGTCGGTCATGACACATCTGAAACCCAGAAGAATTAAAAATGTTCAGCTCAAGTCAAGAGGAGTTACCAGATTAGCAGAAGCTAGCGGCTTTCCCAATCGATGTGATTTGGAACTAGGCTGATGTCCTACAACAACACCGATAGCGAAGAAGACGACTGAAGTTTATTACTAACAATTCGTTGTCTCATTCTTCCAAATGCTAATCGACATACAGAAGGAGCACATCCTTGCAAATCACTTGCAGAATGAGAGAACATTTCAGACTTCCAGATATTTCAAGTATTTTTGTTTCTTCTTCACTGTTAGTTGTTTAGGATGTTGTAGTTGTTTTTATAATTCAATAATAGGACCCATACGGTCATATTAAAAAAAAAAATTTAAAAAAAACACGCATTCTACCGTCCAAGTTTAACCACTTGGACCTATTATATGGTGACTCCTCGAAATCATTGAATTGCTTCGTTACATAACCACTGTTTATTCTTCTAATTCTGACACGATCCAAATTATCGGGGCACCTACACGTTACCATCTAAGTAGAAGAACCCTCTTATCACAATTGTTTTAACATGCCTAAATCAAATAAAACGAAATAGTATACTTAAGACTGGTCAACGGAACGGGAAGTGTCGGTACCGTTCTGGTTCGTCCCGTTTCGGTTGCCTACGGGACAGGACGAAATAGTCTGAACTGGTACACGGAACGGGATGGAACCGTGATTTCGTACCGGTGTATCGGTACCGGTTCATTCCGGTTCCGTTCTGGTCCGGTTTATTTAATATATATTATTTTTTTTATATTTTATATTATATATAATTTATATTTAATTTAATTTTTTTAAAATTACAAATTTTATTTATTTAATATTTACAAGATACAAGTTATAAATATAACTTATAAAATAAATATTAATGAATATAAGTAATAACTTATAAAGTATAAACTTCAAAAGATTTAAATTTTGAAAACTTTATTCTACTTTACTTGCAAACTTAACAACAACAAAAAAATTAATAAAATATCTTTAAAATAAACTTAAGTAAAAATTATAGTATAAATTTAAAAACTATTAATTTATACTTAAAAAATAAAAAATAATAATTATATTTTCATAATTCCAAAAAATATCGTCCCGTTAATTCCGTCCCGTTCCATCCCGGTCCCATCCCAGTATATAGTGGAACGGGACGGAATCGATGAATCATCTCGGTAATTCCGGTCCGATTCATCCCGGTACCGGTCAACATACCGGTCAACGGGTTCCGGTCCGGTCCGGTACCGGTTCATTCCGATCCGGTGAACCGGTTCCGGTCCGTTGACTAGTCTTAAGTATACTACAAAATTTTATAAATAAGAATTTTTAACACAATTTTGATTAACACAACACTCCCAACGATCTAGTCTAAATAGGTACAAGAGTTACTAAGAGTATAATTGGATATGATCTATACTAGACACAACTCCCACCGTGCGAAAAGAATATAGAAACTCCTGGAGAATTCTTCGTCTTCATGTAATCAAACATTACCAACCCTGCATCTAGACTATGCCAAAAAGGCATTGCAAAAGTAGTATTAGTACAAAACCACACATACTTGTTCAATCAATCCGACATCCACGTAATAACATAAGGAATCAACTAGCAAGATCATGCAATAAGACCACCCACTTCTCCACCTTTACTCTCTTTCATACTTAATAATTACACGAGCACCCTTACTCCTAATCACCTTCTCAATCGACCTACTATTAGGTTCTTGGTCATATCCTAGCCATTCTAACGCATATGAGAGTCCACCATTACCATGAATCCCTTTAAAACTTGCCTGAATAATTACACCACACACCCTACCTCCATTTCACCCCTTGCAATATACAAATAATCCTTGTTCATCAACCCTTTCAGTTTTATTCAACAACGATATACATAACAGATTAAGTCAACATAGTAGAACAAACATAAATAGGTCATCATATCATTTACAATTCCACAATTCCAGGGAACAACACCAAATATGATTTATGAACAACGTGCAATTTCACCATTACAAGATATAAAATCATGTCAAGTCATTAGTTCTCTTAGGGAACTCAAATTCAAACTGTTAGCATACCAAAATTTGATACTTAATCCAGTGCTTATGTCAGAACGTGACAATCGATTTCATATTTATGCCGAAACGTGAAAATCAATCCAAGCTTAAGATTTTGTAAATTTCATCCACATAACAAGCTTCGTCAAAAATCAAAGGGCTTAGTCATTTACAAGTTTTCGACTAAAGCTCTAGAAAGAATCTGAAAGTTGAATAATTATAAATTGTATCCAATAGGTTTGATCTATCCATTTTCTATCATTCTTACAGTCACTCCTCAATTTGTCAATTAAAAATAAATTTGTGGAAAAAAAAGAAATAAAACAGTTAAGTTTTTCAAATCCTTTTATGAATGTAAAAAAAGAGAAGAATTGACCAAAATAAGTCATTCTATAAATCAATTCACCAAAATAGTATGTTTTTAATTTTGTTTACAAAACTAGTATAAACGTGGTTCACACTAACGTTTTATGCTTTATTTATTTTTTAAAAATTTAATGAAAAAAGATCAAAAGTTCACGGAGCAAACAGAAATAAAACGTTATTGACAATAACGTTTTATACTTCGTTATCTAGAATCACGTTTTAGAGCTAAAACGTTACTTAAAGCAACGTTTTTATATTTTAGTACGTTTTATCCAGTCACGAGCTCTGCAATTAAAGAATCGAATCCTGTATTTTACAGATTATAAAACATAACTGACAATCATGCTTATTATATAAAACGTAACTGTCAATCACGTTTTATGTTTATTTAATCACGGGGCACCGGATTAAGAATAAAATCCTGCTACATTGGAATCTTACAGATCATAAAACGTTATCGCTGATCACATTTCTGCATTAAATCGTGACTATCAATTACGACACTATGTTAAAGTTAATTTTCTCTTTTTTTTACAGACGACAAATGGTTATAAAATGAACCTTGTTGAAACAAATGTTCTAAACACTCCAACAATATTCATTCAAAATTTTGTTTGTGTAGCCCAATTTTGAAACAATATTTACAAAGATATGAATTAAATAAGTCAAGTCAATGTATCATATTGTGTTATTATTTTTACCATAACTTTCAAATATTTTTCCAATTTATTACTTGGAAAGATGACTTATTTTTATGTGTAGGAATAAAAATGGCAAATTTTGAACATAATGTGATGATTGCTTTGTACTGGAGTGGCGAAATAATTATTGAAATGAACGGATGCAGGTATATTGAATGTGCTAGAATGATTATTAACATGTATACTTCAATGAAGTATGTTGAATTGGTTGAATTATTGCATGAGAAAATGGGTACAACTAGTGAAAATATTCAAATGGATATTTCGGGAAAATATCCTTGTTCGATTCAAGGTAACCATACAAGGTTCATTGAGTTTAAAATTGATGATGATCAATCTTTGCTACAATTTTTTGTTATACCTCAAAATTTTGCGGATAAGATTGACATAAATGTTTTGGAAATGTATGTAAAGACCAAATCAACAAATCAAAATGATATATTTCAAATTAGTGGTCAACATGGTTATCACATGAATTTATTGTCTCAAAATTATGGATTTGCCACGGTTAGTCAACCTCATTATGCAGCCGATTGCTCAACCACCATTTCAACAATTGTTAATGCATGACCAAGGATT